AGTTTTTCCACGGAAAGGGCATAAGCAATGGAGAAGGAGGTGAAAAAACTAATAGATAATGAAACAATTATAGAAGTGGCCTATCAAGTTTGGCTATCCAAAAAATCTTTGAGTGGGGGCCTAACGCAAAAGAAGCTTTTCAAAACCTAAAAGCTTATTTGGCCATGCCCCCTCCTTTTGCATGCCATGCCAGGAGAAACCTTATACCTATACCTTTCCACTTTCACATCAGTAGTGAGTTCTGTCCTCATCAGGGATAATCTCAACAACGAGGCGTCTTCGACACTACTTCTAGAGTCACACCATCGTCGTTGTCACATATCAGCCTCTAAAAAAAGTCTTAGGAAAGCCAGATGTTTCTAGAAGGCTCCTGAAGTGGGCAGTTGAGTTGGGCGAGTTAGATGTGTAGTACCAACCAAAGGCAGCCATCAAAGCATAAGTTTTAGCAAACTTCGTTGTCCAGCTCACACCAGCAGAAGAAGAGTGTAGTGAACCTTTGGCATCTCCACCAGACATCTAAGAAGCCTTATCAAGAGTCCAACAAGAGACTCAAGCATCCCAGGTAAATGCCTTAGCCACCTCGGCGCCTAGCCCTGGCGCCCAGGACAAACTGGCGGCCAAGGCAGGCACCCACCACGGCTTGCAACGCTCCTTCTCTACTGCCTCCCTGGAAGCTTTACATTGATAGCTCTTCGACCAGTGAAAAAGGTGGAGTAGACCTAATACTAATCAGCCTTGACGGTACTCCAATCAAGTATACCATAAAAGCTTCACTTTGCCGCCTCCAACAATGAAGCAGAATATGAAACCCTCCTCTCTGGCCTAAAGTTAGAAGTCGAAATGGAGGCCCGACACCTCAACACCTTCAGTGACTCGTAATTAAAAGTTAACCAGGTAAAAGGGGAGTTTGAAACAAGAGAAACCAAAATGCAGGAGTACCTTGCAATTGTACAAGCCTTGTTGACTAAGTTCCACCACTTCCAAATCTGTCACATCCTGATGGAAGATAATATCGCTGTAGATGCGCTAGCCAGGCTTGCCTTATCCTTAGAAGCTCCACAAGCACCAAAATTCATCAGTCACTAATTTGAACCAAGCAGGCTAGACGTGGAAAAGCCACTAACGTCAACTACACATCTATCGAATCAAACTGGATGACCCCAATTAGAGCGTACCTTCAGGAAAGCGTATTACCATACGACCCGTTGGAAGCCAAGAAACTTAGAATAAGAGCCTCCAAGTTCTCCATCATGTAGGACATCCTGTACAAAAAATGGCTACCCCCTACCACTACTACGCTGCCTCTCCCCAGAAGAAGCTAACTATGCTCTACAAGAGATTGATGAAAGAGTTTGTGAAAACTACTCTGGAGGACGCTCCCTAACCCATAAGGTACTCAGGCAGAATTACTTCTGGTCTAACATGGTTAGGGAAGTACAGAAGTTCACCAGGAAATGCAACAAGTATCAGCGCTTAATCACTGTACACAGGTAACCACTAGAAGAATTGACAGCTATCACAAGTTCATGACCCTTTTCCAAGTAGGGCATCAACATTTTTGGCCCCGTACCTCTGAGGAGAGGAAAATACAAGTTTGTGGTAGTAGTCATTGACTACTTCACAAAATAGGCAGAGGCCGAACCCCCTTAGCAAAGATAACAGACGTAAAGGTCAAGGACTTCATCTGAAAGAACGTTATTTGTTGCTTTGGAGCATCCCACGCCATAGTCAGTGACAACGCTAAACAATTCGCCAACAGACTCCTGAACTCGTTCTGCGTCGACCTTCAAATAAAACAGCCTCATTCTAACCCGATGCACTGACATGTAAACAGGCAGTCAGAGGTCACAATTAGAACAGTACTATGCAACCTAAAGACGAGGCTAGAAAAAGCAAAGGGTCTGTAGGTAGACGAACTCCCGGGTGTATTGTGGGCCTACCAAACGACGCCAAGAGCCCTGACTAGGGAAACTCCTTTCTCACTTGCCATTGAAACCGAAGCAATTATACCTGTAGAGATTGGGATACATTCCCTAAGGATCCAACATCACGACCCCATCACCAACGAGGAAGGACTCCGTATCAACCTCGACTTGGTAGTGGAGGAAAGAGAAATGGCCATGGTTTAGAATGCAGAGTACAAGCGCCGTATGACGAGATACTACAACTCGAGGGTGAAACCTCGCTCCTTCCTACCAGGAGGCTTAGTTCTCAAAAAAGTAATTCTCTCCACGAAAGATTCGCGAGAAGGGAAGCTTGGACCAAACTGGAAAGAATCTTATCTCATAACAGAAGTAGTGAGACCAGGCACCTACATGATCCAGAATTTCGAAGAAAAATTCCTACCCCATCCATGGAATGCTGAGCATCTGAAAATGTACTACCAATAACACTTAAGGAGGGCAGAGGTAATAAAGCTGGGGGCTTGACTTTATTTTTTCTTGTACCTTGTTTGGGTTATTACCCACCATTGCTTAGCATAAGCAGTCATCAAATAAAATTTCCTAAATTTACTTCAAAAATTTCCTTGCATTCTATTTTAAGTGAACATCAATGGTAAAAAACCACTTTTACAAAAGTAGGCTACACACTACCTTTCTAAAAAAAAGAAAAAAAAAACAAGTCAAAAATCTCCAGCACTCTAACTGCTCTCATGGCCGCCATCCTCCTCATTAGAGTCACCATCAGCATCATCAGGCGCCTCATACGACATAAATCCTGAAAAGTCCATATTTGGGAAAGTAGTAGAAATCTTTCCCCGGAACTCCTCGTAGCCATTAATAAAGGCATTTGCAAGGCCACTCTCTGAATCAGCCTCAGCCTTGGTGGCCCTCTCATGAGCCAATCACAGATCCCTCTTAGCCCGAAAAACTCTCTTGCGAGCAGCCTTCAACTCTGCTTTTGCTCTCAAGCGAACAACCTCACCATTTGCCTCGAGCTTAGTGGCCCTCTCTCAGGTTGGCACAAGCTTCACCTAAAGCTTAGCGTCCCTCTTACGAGTCACCACAAGCTCAACTTTGGCCCTTGTGCAAGTAGCCTCTCTAAGCGCGGCCCTCTCACGGGTCGCCACAAGTTCAGCCTGGGAAGCCTTACCATCAGCTTCAACCTCAACAATCCTCCCTTGAGCAACAAGAAGCTCCCTTTTTATAGCTTCATGAGCAAGCCTCTCCCCCCTAACAGTTGAGCTCAGTTGGCTAAACTAGACAGCCCTCGAAAAAAGGCACACAGAGGCAGTTGAAACTTAAGGAAGATAAAGGAATGTCAGTGTCCAAGAGAGGGACAAGAGCAACGGAGAAAGCATACCATGACCTGGGCTAGACCTCCCAAAACAATGTCGATGATGCCCTTAGTGCGCCGAGCACCAATTTGATTGATGTCTGCTAAAAACATAAATCTCCCAAGTCGCTCCTTGATGATCCGCACATTAACCAGTATGGAGACAGTCTAAGTGGCTGCCCCTGTAGAATTCCCTGCTAGAGGAGTCGATGAATGGGGGGTAGAAGATATGGCTGCCTGGGGAGTCTCTAGAGTGGCGGTCACCTATGAAGAAGTCACCGATTAGGAAGACACCACAGGAGGCGTCATCTGAGAGGGGCTCGCCAGAACATTGCTCACTCTTGCCACATTAGGAGAAGGAGTACTCCTAGTGGAATAACAGGACTCCACTACTGTCCTATCCACTACGAGAGGGATAAAGTGTTATCCAAAAGAGAGACAAAGTAAAGAAAAGGAATCTGAGGGAATCAGTATACCTTTTCTCTTTAAAGAGGAACCACCAGGCCTCGGAGAGGGCGCCCCAACCCTAGTACTTCCAACAGGAGAATCTCTAGCTCCACCCTCTTTAAGCATGAGGGTCCCAAAGTCCTTCACATGATGAGTCTTCACAGCTTGCAACTTTCATTCTTGGTCTTTCGAGAGCACCGAGGAGCCTGGAAGGAATGCAACGAATACACATTTGCACAAAGGCGAAGGAAAAAGAATAAGAGTGGACATACCAATTCTCTTAGGAGTGATCCATCTTACTAGTACCAAAGCTCTGTTAGCCTCTGAAGTCCATTCTCCTTCAACAAACATAAAGCAGGCCTTCCAGTTATGGCAATTAAAATGCAGCCCAGTAATTAGTTTTCCTCTCCTTGGAGTGAAATAATATCAATCGCGATTGGGAGTAGGAGTCTCACTCAGAGTATAAGCCACACAAAACTCTTCAGATGAAACATCCTCATGATGCACCTTTCTCCATAATGCTAGGAATCCTAGCAAAACTCTCCAACCGTTGGGCGCTAACCACCATGGGGCAAGTGAAAACAATAGAGAATGCAATAAACAAAAAAAGGCATTGAGAACCTCAGCCCAGCCACAAGCACCTCCTCATAGATAACAACGTCTCTAGATGAGTCATCATAAGCAGGCTCACCTATTTCAGCTCGATGACACAGTCCCGTTGGGAGAATATTGTAAGTGAAAGCAATCCACAGTATATCAACATTAGTATTGAGGGTACTAGAAATGGTATTTACTTTAGATCTGTCGTCATCAAGAGCTATTTTTCCCCTATGTTTGCTGTTGCGAGGGCAAGAAACATTGTATGGGCCACCACTAGGAGAGCCTTGTGAGATCTGACTCTGTGGGGTTCCACCTGAACGAACTAAATCATCCATTTGATCGGAATCATCACCGCCAGCGTTCCCCCACATACTCTGCTCTATAGCTCCTTGCCCAACCTTCGCCGCCATGCCTGACTCGCCCAGCACCACCTGCTCGTTCGCCTGGCTGCGCCTAGTGCCCATTGGCGTTGCCTGCGCACCTACCTGGCCATGCCTAATACCTGTCGACGCCTCCCTCATGCTCGTCGACCCTTGCCCAGCACCCTAGGGCACCAATTCCACCATGCGTACTCTAGAATCAGCCTTGCCTGATGGAGTCTCGCCTAATGGTGCCTCCACCTCTTGGTTCTATGGCTTACCTTCTACTTCTTCTTTATGATCGATACAACCTATAGCCTACGACGCCAAAGGTGCCTCGCCTTCAATGCCCGTGAAGTGCTCGCCTAATGGCGCCAAGCGCCCAACGATGCCACCCAGACCCTCATGAATCTTCGCCCCAGCTCGCCTCAGCATTGGCTCGCTTGGCAGTGCCCATGGAACCTCCCCTTCAATGACTTGGGTCGCCTCACCAGGCAGCTCCCATGGCACCTCGCCTCTATAGAATGGGGTCCCTTCCCCGCCAGTGCATCCTCCGTCGATCATCACTATGCCAACGACCTCTTGATCGCTTGCCTCTGCGCCAATTGCTCCATCGCCATGGATACCGATGGCCCTTCGCATCTCTTCTTCTTCACCCGATGCTGACCTCTAAACACTCATCACAGGAACAAGATCTCTAATCTCACTCATCCAACTTGGGTTCATCTCGAAAAAGAATCCTCTCTCAAAGTGAATGACGTGAGGAAAAAATAAGAGAAACTCCCAATTTATGGCCTAGGACTTTTTGAAATTCTAATAGGAAATAAAATGGGAGAAGTTTATATAGCTAGAGATATCCTACAAAGATGAACTATATCAGGAAGAAAAGAGGTTGTCAGTTAAAAGAAGTCTCTGTCAGCCAGAATTCAAATTTAGCTAAATGCCCTCTTCTCTAAGTTTTGTTGGACTCAGAGTATTGGGGGACAAATGATGGGTCAAGCCCAAGAGCCCAACTCAAGTTATAAGCCCACCTTGAATGAAGAGTCCAACTAGATGAATGGGTCCAGCCCAAAAGAAATCCACGCTTGGTCAGGCTCACTAGGTTTTAAAGAGCTATATCACCAAGGAGTAGACAAGGTCATCCTAGGAACCTCATCCATGCTGTCTTGCAAAAAGTCAATCACGTCATCCTTTGACCTAATCTTAAGGGGAGCTCTGTAACTACCTCAGTTGTTGAGAGAACGACGTAAGCTCCACCAAGTTAGCTATTTACTTACTGAAAAGACGCCTCAGTCAGTTGAGAGACACTATAAATTGTAAGTCCCGCCAATACATGGGGGACATCAGACATTGTCACTTTCATCTCCCTCATAACTTGTACCTCCATTGTTCTCCTCTAATCTTTTTACACCCCTTGAAATAATAAAAACACAAGGCTATCCTAGTAGAGCAGGTCATGTTAACCGAACCACTCTACATTTTTGTCTTGCTTGCGTTACTCACATTTTACTTAATTACTACATTAATCATTAATTACTTGATAAGTGGTGTATAAAATCAATTTATGCATCATCACTTATTTTTAGCTCAGGGCTGTTTTATAGTACTACACTAATTTCTTCTTATTTGCAAACTTCCAAAATTGTTAAAGACAATCTATGGACTTGGAAACAATAGGAGAAGCCTAAAAGATTTGAAAATTTTCATTTTATCTCATTTTATTTAAAATGGGCCAGTATTTAGGTTGTTAGTACAAAATCATACCCTTTTCCATTAGCTTTTATCTTCTATGCTACGATTCAAGCCCTTTCATGGGCAGCTTTTGTTTTGGAGTAAACTTCGGGGACCCAACATATCAACTGAGATTGTTAAGAAACATAATTTAACAATGGAGAGAGGGATTTACTAGTGGGTCGGGATCAATGAAGTTGGATCGAGATTGAGAGATGAAGGACAAGCTTATGAAATCTTCTTTGTGGCTGTCGGATGGCAGTGGACCGAGTACAAATAAGTATTCATTCAAACTCGTCTCATTTAAACCAAGGATGAATCATACGAATTAGACGCTAGATATATACGAAAATACTTATATAAACCCGTGCGAAAATAAAGGCGAAAATGGACTGACACTTACTCGTCCCGCTTTACCCATTATTGTTGTTGTTATTATTATTATTATTATATATATACATGTTGTAAATACAAATTACATATTATTACATAATTTTTTCTTTTAAAAATTATTTTATTTTTTATTTTTTTTCCTTGTTTTGGCTTGTAAAAGTGTAAACTTGTGTTTTTATATTTTTTTTATGTTAGATTACTTTATGTCACATTATATTGTGTTGAATTTACAAAGTAGATAAACTTCTAATTATATTATGCTGAATTATGTTGTAAACAAAATTATAATTATATTATATTATAAATGACAAACTTTTAATTATGTCATGATATTTTATAATTATGTTATATTATTTAAAATATTAAATTTATTTAGAATATTGAATTATGTTAACTTGAACTTGAATTTAGACTTGGACGGAAGTGAGGGGTACTCATAAATGTGCTACTAAGATAAGTATTGTTGTTATTAAAACTTTTTGAAAACTAATAATTTGGAATCACACACCTCATATTTCATACACGTCTACTTAGAGCCTTATTGAGATAAATTTCCTTGATTTGGAGTGAGGAATTGAAAGAATTACGAAAGATGAACCAAATCGAGAGGAAAAAGGGCAATTTCTGCACCATATCTTGCGTATCCAGTCCATATTTGTTCAGATAAAAATACCCCCAAATTCCAGTGAAAAACATAATATTGCTTCTCCAATACAAAAAGATCTCACAAGTATCACACAAAACCATAAGATCATTTCGAAAGACACTACCATCACACCCTTCCACAGGGTTCATTATCCTCGATGTCCAAGCCACTTCCAGAGCTCATCTTCCAGAACGATTTAATAATTTGTACCTGACGACATAAGTCAATGGATCCTTCTGGTATCATTTTCCATACTTAGCTCTGTTTAAGCAACGGTTTGCATAGATATACACGGAATGCTTATCATTTGTCTCCCTCAACAACATTTTATTTTAGGCATTGCTACTTCAAACCATGCCAAGAATAAAAATCAACTTTGCTGAGTAAAGGTATTCAATACCTCCAGGCTTTCCACCACCTATCGACAGCACAAATCTCTTCCTCGTGCCCTTTTTTTTTTTCTTGGAAAGGAAGAGATAAAAGGGGAGGAGACCATCTACACACAACTTTCTTAAATGTCTACCCGAACAGAAACAGCTAACATGTATCTTTTCCAACTGGGGAAGTCTTAATTCAGGGACACTTCCACTGATAATTCATAAATATTTAGTGTGGCAATACTCTACAAACAATATCGATGTATCACTATACCAACAATTTATTGGACTGCAATGTCAATGAAGTATGAAAATCTTCATTCCATTGCAGATTCAACAACTGTAGCAAACCACGTATGAACATTTCTTTTTCCCCTTTTTTTCTCTCTTCCTTTGTTGGACTTCCAATTCTCAAAGCCAAACCCTTGCAAAACAACAAAAAAAAAAAATTATTGGTCAAAAGTAACATTACAATTGAATTACACAAAATGGGGGATACCTGGTTTCTTGGAAGTAGGGCAGTTACCAAAAAGGATCTTAAGTATTGCTAGTTCATGACTAGTATACTGCTTTAACTCTACTAATGAAGTGTATCTAGTAAACTTTTATTGCAGCCTGTTGAGGTTGAATCAAGGTTGAATCATGGAGCTTTGGTGCTCAAAAAATAATCTCCAACCGTCAAGAAGACATGTTGTCCCAACACCACATCCACTGAAGGCTGATTTTCAATGCAATTAACCTTAATCTGCGATGTGTAAGGGAAAGACCAGAAACAAGAATTATCAGTACCCCAACTTTGTAGGGCTTTTAAAGTGTATAAACGTCAGTAAAACAAACCTTCCCATTTCCACGGTGGAACTCTGACTTCAAATTGGGGTAATCCCTCGACAACAGGTAAGTTTGCAGACCTTGCGCAAATTTTGTGCTCTCTGCAACCATTGAAGAACATTCGCAAGAGATGAGAAGATACTATAACACAAGCATAGTTGCTTCTACTCAGACAACCTCAAAAGGTAGAGAGGAACAAATCTTCAATAATCAACCTGCATATAGTGCAATAATGGAATCCAAGTTGAACATTAATGCTGGTCTCGCCAATGTAATAACAAATGCTAGATTAGCAATGCCAAGGAAATTCTCCTCCTCAAGGATCACCTGAAGAAAGAAATGTATCATAGGGACTTAGAAATCTTCACATAGAGATTTTCTTCATTCTAGAGATATTAGCTTTCACATTTGCATCGTTTAGTGACCAAAGAAAAACTAAAATTCAAGAAACAACCTGAAGTGCAATATACAATCAATCACAGGGATACTGGGCTCACAAAAACCCTAGGCATCAGCGATCTGGATTGCATGACCATAAACGGGATGGGTTTGTAAACTAGATTGACCAAGTTTTGGACGTCAAATTCTATACCTAATTGCTCTGTGCTTTAACTTCTTCATTTTGGTGATTTACAAACTCATATCTTGATTTATTGTGATTTAGAGTTTTTTCGTCATGCACATAGGCACTCATTAACTTCTATTATTCACAGCCATTAACTGGTAAGCTGTTTTGAATTATAGATTGCTTTGAAGTTTTGCTAACAAATAAAAACTAAATACTAATTAATTAGGTGTGTAGGTATACAAATGCATATAATTTCATCTAATAGTGAAAGCTACTACATATACAAAAATTAATAGGAATTGACTGCATCAAAAAAAGGTATTGTACCGCTATCCAGACACATACCACATACCAAAAGAACCCACGTACCAAAAGGATGCATGATCCCCATAACATTGATTAAGTATGAACTTGCATACGCATACCATGTACCAAAAGGATCCCCATATCAAGCACCAAAACAACCCAAGATTCATGTAACATTGATTAAATATATAGTTCACTTTTAGGATCCAAATTTCGTTTTGGTGCAGTGTTTCGGTCACCTAGGAAACGGAAATGTTTCGACGTGTTTTGAAAATGTTTCGCCATTTCAGAAATAAAATGAAAAAAATAAATAATTTAATAATTAATTTTCCAAAACATTGATCGAAATATATCAAAATATCTTCAAATATCTTGAAACATTCCGAAGCAATTGTGCAAATGAATTGAAACATTACAAAACACTTAGAAGCATTATGAAACACCTCGAAGTATTATAATTTCAATTTCATTACTAATTCGTTTCGGTCCTTGGAAACAGAAACATTTCAAAATGAAATTATAGTTGATCCACTTTATGATTTCAGTAATGTAGTTGATTTGACAGTTTGTGCATCCCCTTAATTTCCCAACGCAACACCTCCATCCATATGATACAATAATGAAACCATGGGCTCATTTTCGCCATGGTTGCATTTTCCAACTCACCTTGACTCGAGCATCATTCTGTATGCAGCAGGATCATAGTTTAGACAGACTTAAAAACAGATATCTATTTCACAGCAAACAGGGGGTCCTCTATCATTCAGTGCTCATCAAAATTATTTGGTACAACCAAATTAGAACTCTATGCCTTTTGCTGTTACATGTTTAGCTGGCTAACAGGGGTTAAATTACAGTGCTCAAGAGTGTCTACCCACTGACCAAATTTTAAGAATGCGTATTTGTCCAAAATAATCACCAGTATCATTTTGTTTCGAAGCCTCTACTAGAGATGTCATCAACATTGTATGTTCTGATATAGAACTCTTTCAGGCACAAAATATTAGGCAAGAAAGAACTTGCCTTTCTTCTTGTCCACACATTTGCATATGTGAGAAACAAGAAGATGAAGAACAACCAGGTCTATTCAGGGATGACAACTAGCCCAATTTCCCATCAGCAATAATTGCAATTATTTACTTTGTAAATTTAGAATGACAATGTTAAAAAACTAAAAACAAAAAACAAGTTCGCTGATCCTCATCATACAATAGGCATTGCATGGAAGAACAGTTCAAAGACATTAAATTTAAAGAAAGTACATACATGAGGTCATTAAAAAAACCATCCTCCAGGAGAACAACGAAAAAAATAATGTAGCTCAAGGAGCAATTAGAGAAGAAATCAAGACCTAATTTCCTAATCTAACAGTAATCCAGGAAACTTACAGCATGAGGTGGAATAATAGTAGAAGGAAGCAAAGAAAAACCAAGTGCTTCCCTGATGTATAATTCCTGCGAAAGAAAGTAAGAAATTAGTTTTTTTAATATATATTTCATTTTGCTATCTGGGTAAGAATAACGGAGTCAGCGACACACTATTAATTATCAAGTGTGTGTTAGCAGCACACTTAATAACACGTGATACAGGTTTAGAAACTTCTATTGCAAGAGCTCAAATTTGTTGTAAATTTTTACATTTTTATCAAGTACAGAATGCAATAGAACCAATGACACAAAATATGGTTCAATACGAGTAATCGTTCAAATTTATATATTCAAGACAGGTGTAAATAATAATTCCAGAAATATAAGGGAAAGCACAAAAACGTTCAATATAACCGATAACTTGTGCAACATTAAGGGAACATTAATATCGGACAATGTATCCAATTCAGACAAATTTTCACAGCAGAAATAACAAGAATTCGGTAAAGAAACATCCAACATGACATCCTGAATTCAAATTTCCAACCAGAAATTGTTAACAAAAGAAATTATAGAAGAGATATTGCAACACAAAGTCTCAGCTAAAGATTAAGTGCCTTCTCCACCTTTTCTTGTAACCCCAAAACAGATGCTGACCTTCCTTAGCTTCATACTCAGGTGGCAAAATAAGGCAAATTATGTAACAATTCAATGAGGTGTAAAAGTATTGCATTTAGGGACACAAAGATAAAACTAAACCCAAGAATTACCTGAGAATCCAAAATTTGTTGAGATTTTGATTTGTCCTGATCCAATGATTTGAAGTAGACCTCCACCGTGTCAGTAGGTTCAAGGGCAGCTTTCTTCCGTAGCTTCTGGATTCTATTAACAATCTACAAAAGTTGAATTTCCAAAAGCGTGTGCATTAGAAATGATTGTTATGCAACTTGCAATTTAACAACCAAAGGAAGCAGTGGTATATAACTTAATAGAGGATGCCCTCTGAGTCATCATGGAAATGAACAAATATTATAGCAGAATACCTCACGAGCAACCCCAGCCTCATGCAATGACTCATCACGACGCAAATCCAATATCACCAGAACATCACCTTATACAAGGAATGACCAATGATGAGGCAAGCATGCCAATCATTATAAAGGCATCATAACAAGATGTCATTGATGATCCTTACCATCTCCTGCTGCATCCATTTCCTCTTCTGTCATATTATCAGGACGTTTAAACCCCCGTACAATCTACAAGTCCAGTGAGATTGACAGATCAGTCACATAAGTTTAGTCAATACTTGGAAGTATTACTTCAAAAATATAAAAGTCTAAGAAGCAACAACATTTGAACCAAGGTATGATTCATGACCATCAGACAAAACATGGGTTCCCTAATGTTAAGATATAAAACTTTCTAATACAAGCAATAAAATTTAATGAAAGAACAAACTCAACAAAGCTTCTGCTTTAATTTCTTGGCTGACAAGGAGGTATATGGTCCTCCTAGAGCATCCAACACCCCCACCCTACCCGCAGTTGGCTCCCCCCCCCCCTTTGGGTGACGTCCCACAAACACTAGCAATGCTCTGATAAATCCCTGATAAAGGCACCAAATGGGACAAATTAAATATCTCCAGCTTTTGCAGCCGGAGCCCGTAATATATCTACCTTTCGGGATATATGTACTGCAAACAAACTGCAATGTTAGACATGATCCAGAGTGTATGACAAAGCCTCCAATTGAGAAACTAAAGCTGGCAGCTAATGCTGCTTTGAGCCAAATTGTTATTTAATATTCCTTTTTCCAGGATAGATAGCTATACAGCAAAGCCACCATTTGTCACTACCAAAATCATTTTCTGATGTGCCCATACATTACCTGTTCAACAGGCTAACTTCAACTCTAAATGATGGAAGCTCCAAAAACTCTGCTTGGTAATCCTACCTAGGTGATCAACACTTTATAACTATAAGCAGATTCTCGACAATTGCATTTGATAATGGATGATGTTAACAGTTATCACAAAAAATAATTTTCAATTTGCAAATGACTTGATTTTCAGCTACAAGGACCTGACTTTAACTTATCATTCCACAAGCGCAGTGGAAGGTTAAATTTGAATTAAATTTTTAATTAAAAATATACCCCAGAAGACATGTATAAGTGTCCCAAAGACAATTTATTTCATTTATATTTCCACTGATTGCACCAAATTAAAATATTTTATCGAACACAGACTCAATACATCTCAGGTATCGAGAAGAAAGCTACCCGCACAGAGACTACATGAACTGCATCATGACCTACACTTCTATAATCATTTAACACTGATGACACATTCAACGCCGGAGTTCTGGAAACTGTTCCAGGACCTACTTCCTGCCAAAACAAATCAAGTCCTAGGTGTTTTCAAAATACGCATTGTATTAATTTTAGATGCTAATCTAGATAAAAACTTAATAGTCCACTGATATTGAAGCTTCCAAAACCACTTTGCTACCACGAATATAATCCATGTGAAAGTATAGTAACTAGAATTTGAAGCCAGTTCTCGCTGGTCATTTAAATTTTCCCTTTTCCCAATTTTTCTTTTACTTTCCCTTTTCCCCTGCCTCCTAAACAAATATAGCAGTATTGCAACTAGAGTAACCATAGCACAAATTTGAAACATCTTTCTCCAAGAAGAGTGATGCCCTTTTGTTCAACTAGCATCATCAATTAGGTTTGCTGTTTCCAAGATGCTTGCATCCAGGTATCAAGATTGCATAAAAGTAACACTCTGAATCATTTGCCAGATTATATACGATAACAAACAAAAAGCAGAAACATGTTACCTTAATATCAGCTAGCTTCAAACAGTGTGTAGCAACAGTAACTTCTCCAACTTTCTCGAAAGCTAAAATATCTTCTGTTGACATTGCCTTGACTTCCTTGGCAACAACTCCCATAGATTTACCAAGTCGTTTCCCTAACACACTAGGACAAAACAACCAAATGACAATAAATTTAATTACCAAGGAAGAACACATGTGAATAACTTCAGCAGACTTAATAGCACACTAGCACCCTACCTACCTGAAGTCAGGTTCTGCATGTAAAGAAGCATACTTCAAGGAATCATTGCATGGCAACAAAGATTTTACATTGAGTTCCTCCAGCACATACTACAATACAATAGAAAACCGTAAGGTTTTACATTGAGGTATCTCACTATTTACTTGAAACCGGTAACAAATCAGAAAATAGAACATGAAAAAGATATCTCACACAACAGAAACCAAATGCATGTTTTGGATAAAAGTTCTACTAATAAATGTAATGTGCGCCTGAAATGAATTGATGATAACAAGATATAGGATCCATTAAGCAGTAATACAAGAAGAATTGTATTCCTATGCGCAACACAATTTATACGAAAAATGTAACTATGACTTCAACTCTAAGTTGTAAAACCACATCATATAAGCTCTTTAATCACCATTTTCAAAACATATCATGACAAACAAACACTCATTAAGTCGAGGGGATAATGCATTAAAAAGTTGGCTTATAGACAGAATCCTTTCTCAGTTTTCCCAGGATAATAAAATTTATGATAATCGTTCCTAGAATGTCATTTCAGAGAAAAAAATCATGCATGGTTTGAATTTTCCATTCGTTAAAGAACACAAAAGCACAAAAAGACCAAGAGAAGAAACATGTGCACAGTCCAATCAAAAAAGAAACAGTTGCACAGATTCTTGCTTTGGCAATTCAAAATACTAAACCATGCCTCACATTCCAAAATATATAGTAACAATAATTAGCAGCCACAAAGAAGACAAATTACGGCATTTTGTGTTCCAAAATGACAAAGCTGACCAGGTAGATTTCTACAAACTGTAGACAAAATTCAATATAACTTAAAAAAGCATCCATATGGAAATATAAGTAATATATCTAAATCTGGGAAATGCCATTCACAGACCTCTTTTAGTTTTCCAGCAATGTCATCAAGGAACTCTTCATCAGGATGTACAACCACCATCTCCCTGAAATATGGAAAACAACATCCATTTTGATTTGAAGAAAATAAATGAGAAAACCTATATATGAAAAGAAGAGAAACACGGCAAGGGGGGATGAAGCAATAATAGTAGAGCTAGAAGCACTACCCTAGTGGTGTTTTAAGAGGTAAGTTGTGGCGCTCACGAATATTGCGGGCAAGATCAATAATTGTCATCATCCTACTGACACTTTGTTCAATACGTTCCCCTCTCTGAGATGACATTGATATTTTTGAAATCATATAAACAACTGAGATTCATGTAGAAGTCATATGAATTAGACAAAAACTAAATAAGGGACAGCTGACAAAATAAACAGTACTTTTCCTTCTACTACAGGAAAACTGCAATAATGAATGCTTTCCTCTGATCCATTGCAAACTTTTCGCATGTTTTGATAAAGAACCTCAGTGAAGAATGGTGTAAATGGAGCCATTGCTTTGCATGAAGTTAGAATCACCTGCAATCATAGCCCATATAAATGCAAGCCAAATTAAACTGACAGCAAGAGACAGCAATCAATAGTAGAATTATGCACTTAGGGAATGCTGACTAATCAAATGTAATCATGCTACCAGCCATGTGATAAGGACATGCAACATGCGCAACCATCTATACCATTAAAGATCGGAGTTACTGCAATCATACATTGTAAAGAGTTGAAAGGGCTGTTCTGCAGTCCTCCTCTCCTGTACGGCCCTTCAGTCTCTTCCGGTTGAACCGCACATATATATTTGTTAGGCTGTCCAGAAACTTCAAGAGATAAGGAACCACCTACAAAAAGAAGTACAAATTCAATATTACCTTAGTATTGTAAGAAGTGAATACTGGTTGCTTCTGTTAAATGCATTCAATCATGGTTATCATGAGGAGTATGTGTACCAAGGTATGAGTTTCTAAGGACTTCAAAGGAATTCCGCTTTTTGCTATTTTAGCAGAATAGGCTTTTTATGCGTTTGAGCTCTTTTTTCTGATATTTTCTATTTTTGGTTGAATTTCTTATCCAACCATTCTTAATGTAGTTTTCAAATTTTATTAATACCAGAATTATGTTTCCTATAAAAAAGTATGTACCAATAAAGCACGTTGAAACAAAAGATGCGTCTAAATCACCTTAGTGGTTCAATCATGTCCGTTTATACCACATACATTAAAATTTCACTCTTCTATGACAGATTCACATAACAAAATAATATAAGATCATTTATTCAAGTGAATATGCTATATTCACCAAAGTGCTTTTTCAGTCTTTTTTGTTACACCTAATATATACAGGCAGGGAGGGGTGTATTGGGCTATGGCTCGAGTAGGCCTTTGGGAGCCCCCACGGTTTTCTACCATCTAGGCCCCACAGGTGGGCTTCCCTCATGGATTTCGGCTGCTATGGTCATGCCCAAGAAAGGGTTCCACGCTGGTTGCCCACTCGAGCCCTTTTTTCTTCTCCAGAAAAAAAAAACACCCATTTTAAAAATATGAAGATACACACAAAACTCATAAATAGGAAAAGGTTCAAGAATAACCATAATTAAATTGAAGCCACACCACCAATCCCCAACCAGCACCCTGGGCCCCAACCCACAAAAAAAGGGTGAAATTCAACTGAGATTCGACACAACCTACAACGTTCTAGCCAAGCTTTAATGATAAGGCTTTAAGAAAAAACCGAAGGTTGTGATAAGTTTGTCATGGAAATTACATAGGAAAGTCGCCATAAACTTCTTCCAATAAGAACAGAACACATTCTTAACTTGGAAATGTAACCAAATTGCCTCAGAGCCACTGCACCTTTGTCCACTAACCCCGATTCGGCATTTGTAAAAGCAACATCTTTCTACAAGTTTCTGCAACTAGAGAAGTGTTGGAGCCTAGAATCCTGACACTTATTGTGTTAACAACATCAATAATGCCAAATACCACGCAGCCATCCCAAAACTATGGTAAAGCCCAATTTAACAAGATAGATTTGTAGTCAAAGTGAGTTACCACTGAACCTTGTTAAACGAGCCTGGTATTGTAATAATATCATGTATTCTTCCAAAATTGTTCAACTAAAAATTTACTTCTATATTTCCTCAACATTACATTCAACTACACAACCAGGTCCAAACTAACGTTACCCAAATCGTGGATTGATTTAGTACGTGGCACTAGCACAAATCTATAATACAATATTTTCTTAGGTATGCAGTGCTATGGAGTAGGCTTAGCTGATACAAGTGTTTGGGTTTTCACTATTATATGAAGTTATATATAATAGTACATCAATAACACAGTAATTATTTTTTTACATAGTAATTATACATCCAGACATATATAGTCAATTAATATTTATTTTATATTAGTGCTACATGTTTCAAAGCGAATCAAATTTGAATTAGTATTACAGTTTGGGATCGGATATTTAGGTGATTTGGATCATGTTCACACCCTTTTTGGGATCACTTTACCCAAATCGTGGACCATTAGGNGAAAAGGTTCAAGAATAACCATAATTAAATTGAAGCCACACCACCAATCCCCAACCAGCACCCTGGGCCCCAACCCACAAAAAAAGGGTGAAATTCAACTGAGATTCGACACAACCTACAACGTTCTAGCCAAGCTTTAATGATAAGGCTTTAAGAAAAAACCGAAGGTTGTGATAAGTTTGTCATGGAAATTACATAGGAAAGTCGCCATAAACTTCTTCCAATAAGAACAGAACACATTCTTAACTTGGAAATGTAACCAAATTGCCTCAGAGCCACTGCACCTTTGTCCACTAACCCCGATTCGGCATTTGTAAAAGCAACATCTTTCTACAAGTTTCTGCAACTAGAGAAGTGTTGGAGCCTAGAATCCTGACACTTATTGTGTTAACAACATCAATAATGCCAAATACCACGCAGCCATCCCAAAACTATGGTAAAGCCCAATTTAACAAGATAGATTTGTAGTCAAAGTGAGTTACCACTGAACCTTGTTAAACGAGCCTGGTATTGTAATAATATCATGTATTCTTCCAAAATTGTTCAACTAAAAATTTACTTCTATATTTCCTCAACATTACATTCAACTACACAACCAGGTCCAAACTAACGTTACCCAAATCGTGGATTGATTTAGTACGTGGCACTAGCACAAATCTATAATACAATATTTTCTTAGGTATGCAGTGCTATGGAGTAGGCTTAGCTGATACAAGTGTTTGGGTTTTCACTATTATATGAAGTTATATATAATAGTACATCAATAACACAGTAATTATTTTTTTACATAGTAATTATACATCCAGACATATATAGTCAATTAATATTTATTTTATATTAGTGCTACATGTTTCAAAGCGAATCAAATTTGAATTAGTATTACAGTTTGGGATCGGATATTTAGGTGATTTGGATCATGTTCACACCCTTTTTGGGATCACTTTACCCAAATCGTGGACCATTAGGGGTTTAGTAATTTTTGGTAACTATGGTCCAAATACATATAGCCATACCACTTGCCTGTTTCAAAACCTTGGCGTCAAAAAAACTCATTTTGATAAACAGAAGGAAGAAACAATTTTAGCTATTTTCTTTGCCTGCATTATGTTTAATAATTATATTATTTTTGTTGATCCACGCTAACCACTATTAAATGCTTAATATTTACCAGTCACTGACAGCACAATATATTTAACAGAAAGAAAGCCTACTGTATACAGGCGATAAGCATCCATTTCTTGCCGAACAAAGTGAACCAAACTCTGAGTTGCCGAGTTGATCCACTGGTCAAGCACATTAGAAGATTTCTGAAGAGTGGCTTGATCAATAGGAAAGAATGGTGCAAGCCCCTCAACCTCAAGTCTTTTTGCATTCTGAACAAGGAACCTATATGCATTGTACCATGGCAGAAAAACATCTTTGACCTGTGCAGACATCAACATCTGAGGTTATGTATAAAATCAGAGATCAATGAACAAACTGGAAAATAGTAATCGGAAGTTTTGAGACCAGTGAAACTGATGTAGAAAAAGGAGGGGGGGGGGGGGGGGGAATAAAA